CCACCCTAAATGCTGCAACAACAATTCACAGCCCCCAGGTCACCTCCTGCCGTGGTGAGATGTCTCACACCTCAGGTGTGGGATGAAACGTCTCATTTTCCACGGGAAGCACTGGAGTTGGTGTAACCTCTTCCACAGCAGGGCTTGCTCAGCAAAATGTTTTATTTTCACTCTCTTAAACACATCATCATCCCTTGGCTTTGCCATGATTGAAAATCACTCACAGAATCACAGAATCCCAGAATGGTTTGGGTTGGAAGGGACCTTAAAACTCATCTTGTTTCAACCCCCTGCCATGGGGGTGCCACACCTTCCACCATCCCAAGTTGCTCCAAGCCCTCTCCATCCTGGCCTTGGACACTTCTAGGGATTCAAAGCATTAAATTCTGCTATTTTTTTTCTTTCCATAATGAGTGCTCTGTTTTTTTCCCTCAGGTAAGGTGGGACTGTGGGATGCCCACACAGGACATCTCTGTGTGGTTCCACAGTGTCAGTTCACTCCCCTCTCTCAGATCTGATCTGAGCTTGTAAAGAAAACAGAGAAAGCAAGAAAGACCACTGACAAAACAGCCCTGTCCCAAATACACATCAGGGGTATCTTAGATGATTCCTTTTGCTGCAAGCCAGCACATGGAAAACAAAGATCATTAAGAATGGAAAAGACCTCCAAGATTATCAAGTCCAACCTTCAACTGTATCCCATGTGGAATCAAAGAATCTCCTGAGTTGGAAGGGACACACAAAGGTCATCAAGTCCAACTCCTGGCCCTGCACAGGACAACCCCAAAACCCCCCACTGTCCACAGTGTCACTGTGAAATGCTGGAAGGTCCTCAATGTGAAGCCATTTCAGGCAGACCTGCTGATCTCTGGGCTCCCTGTGAGCACAGTTCTGGGTCTGAGCTGTTTGCAGAGCACCTCAATTGCTTTGCCACCACTTAAAGTGTTGCTCTGACTCTGGGTACAGGAGAGACCTGAGAAAGAGAGGAGCTGGGGGAAAGGCAGGATGACTGGATTGCTCCTTGCCGTGTTACCTGTGGGATTTTAATGACCAGGAGCCTCTCTGGGTGGGAATTATCCCCCACACCAGGCAGGAATTCAGAGCCCTCACCCCTGTGCTGTCAGTTCAACACACACAGCTGCACAGGGCTGAAGGAAAAGTTCTTCTTTAAAACCAATTTGTTAAAGCAGGACAGTCTCCATGTGATCCACCCCAAATCAATTCAACCCTAATTTCCATTGACTCCGTTTAATCACCGCCTGATGATTAATCTGAAACCAAGGGCAAGTGTGACACAAGTTCTCGCAACTCAACTCGTTTCCAGATGAGCTGCTGGGCCTTTCCTGCAGGGCAGAGCTCCAAAGCTCCATCATTTTCCTCCTCGTGCTGCTGAACCAACGTGTGAACGCTCATATTTCAGTTTAATTTATCGCAGCTTCAGCTCCCTCCCGGCCAGCCCGAGGTGTGCAGGGAAGAGCAGAGCTGTCCTTTCCAAATTCCAACTTCTTTACACACATCAAGCTCAAAAAAGCCTGTCTGAAATTTTTATGGGTCTCCAGGTGCACCTTGAGCACCGTATTCCCAGGAATTTCAGAGATCCCAGGTCTCCCAGCACCCATGTGTCTTCGAGGAACTCTGGTTTCCAGCACAGGTGCTCCAAGAGGCCACGGTGGTGCTGCATCCCCAGCAGGACAGGTTAATTCCAGAGGAGATTCCAGCTCTTCCTGCTGGGAGAGACTGGCTGGAAGTCACGGTGGTCTCTGATGGCAGCACAAACCCTCGTGCTGAATTAAGATTTAAATATTTGATTTCGAAGGGAATGTGAATCAGTTCTGGGTTTTATTCAGACTCATAAAGGACAAGCACTAATAGGATAACAGGGAAAAGTGCAATGAGAGAGAAAACTCGGAAAGGAAGCAGAAAAACGGAGCATTTTGCTCTGTTGCTTTGCTGTTTGTTTTTTTTTCTTTAATATATATTTTCCACCCGCTAAGTGGGTTTTCACAGCTCACTCTGTAATCCTGACAATTCCCAAGGCGAAGCCGGGTGAGCAGGGACAGCTCAGGAATGCAGCAATAACCTAAAAAGATCGTTTTGTCAGCCAGAATTCTCCGTCTGGGAGCTGGGAGCTGCACGAGCCCTGATGAGAAACCAGAGGCACAAAGTGGTGTCTGTGCCCTCTGCAAATGCCCATTAAGCAGAGGCTTCATTTGCTAATTGCTGTTGGAAATGAAGCCCTTTTTAGTTTTTTTTTTCCTTTCTCTTTTATTTCTCGATTTGTTTCAAAGATGAACGGATGGTCATGGAAAATCAGAGCAGAGACCTGGCATATGTCTCCTGTCCTTTCCTTCCCTCTGTTTGTTCAGTGTGAAAAATTGTCACTTAAGCCCATTTTTTATTCATCCAAGGCTCCCTTTCAGCTACAAACAGCTCAGACTGGGCCACAGCAGAGGAGAGAGAGATGGGTGTAAGGACCTTAAGAGCATTACCTGGCCCAGTCCCTGCTCCACAGCAGGATCATCTCTCCCTAAATCACAGATAAAAAAAGAGAAAAAAGTACTGAAGGCAGAGCTCAACTCGCTTTCAAATCAGCTTAAAGTCTGATTACTGGGTTTAACTGGGTTTGGAAGATCAGAGGCCCGTCCACGTTACAGCTTATGTCTTAATGTCAAAGGAACAAGTAATTTGCAGAAAAGTTTTAAGGGAGATAAGATACTTGACAGAAAATAACTGAAAATGGGGAGACTGGGAGAGGGTGATTTACAAATGCAGGTTGAGTGGTTTCAGCTACAAGAAAATGGGCTGAAAAACGTCAGTTGGGTATTTTTCCTGTGAATGTTTGCAAGGTTATTACAAAATGGTGCTTTAGTTTCAAAGCAGGTGGTTTGACTCCAACCTGTTGGGCAAGCAGGAGTTTCCCCTTCTCTCCCTTTCCAGAAAACAGGGTTTCAGCAAAAAAATCCTGTTCTGGTTAATCCAAATCCCTGCAGAGACTGGAGTTCATCACAGAATCCCAGAATGGTGTGGACTGGAAAGGAGCTTAAAGCCCATTCAGTTCCACCCCCTGCCATGGGCACCTTCCACTAGCCCAGGTTGCTCCAAGTCCTGTCCAACCTGGCCTTGGGCACTTCCAGGGATCCAGGGGCAGCCACAGCTTCTCTGGGCAGCCTGTACCAGGACCTCCCCACCCTCGCAGACAAGAATTCCTTCCCAATATCCCATCTCTCCCTGGCCTCTGGCAGTGGGAAGCCATTCCCTGTGTCCTGTCCCTCCATCCCTTGTCCCAAGTCCCTCTCCAGCTCTCCTGGAGCCCCTTTAGGCCCTGGAAGGGGGTCTAAGGGGTTCTTACAGTGTCTAAGAACCTTCTCTTCTCCAAGTGAACATCCCCAGCTCTCCCAGCCTGGCTCCAGAGCAGAGGGGCTTCAGCCCTTGGAGCATCTCCGTGGCCTCCTCTGGAGTCACTCCAGCAGCTCCAGGTCCTTCCTGTGCTGAGGAGCCCCAACCTGCACACAGCTGACCACATGAGCCCACCCAAGAGTCCAGTCAAAGCCCCTACACCAGCCATCAGCCATCTCCCATCTCCTCCTCACCTCCTGCTGCACTAAGGAACCCTGGATCTGGATCTGGGAAGTGCTCCCCAGGTCTGGATCTGGGAAGTGCTCCCTGGGTCTGGATCTGGGAAGTGCTCCCCGGGTCTGGATCTGGGAAGTGCTCCCCCGACCTGCAGCAGCAACCTCAAGCAGTGGGGAGATGCAGCAACATGCACGAGTCCACCCAAATACCCAGTGTGATCCCATTTTACTTCCACTCCCCATTCTTCCTCAAGTGTGAAGACTTGGAATATTTTCAAAGGAATAAG